AGCCCACAGATCGGGGCACCTGGGTGGCTCAGTCAATTGAGCATCTGCCTTTAGCTTGGGTCCTGGCTCAGGGTCCTGGGATCGAGCCCCATGTCAGACTCTCTGCTCAGTGGGGAGTCTGTTTCTCCCTCTCCCTCTGTGCTCGCCCTTCTCATTCTCTCAAATAAATTAAAAAAAAAAAATCTTAAAAAAATAGCCCACAAATCACAGAAACTTAAAATGACAGTTCCATTCTCTGACCTCAGAGACCAAGCTAGACAGAGCAGACACCAGCTTTAAGTATTAACAGTTATAGGGACATAGGGAAAGAGAGAGTAGAAAATTATGCATTGGATTTTTAAGCTTATAACATTTCCCTGGTCAAAGCAAGTTGCATGGATACATTCAACTTTAAGAAAGCAGAGATGTGCAATCCAACACAGGTGGATACTGGAAATATTTAGTAGAGAGTGCTAATACCACTTCAGATTACTTATAATTCCCTGAACCTACCATTTAACTTATTTCTTTTTTGTTCTTGAAAGAATGCCCTTGTCAATCCTTATGTATCTGGATTTCTACCAGTAAATGCTACCACCTTTCTAGAATATTTCATAACCTCCCTGATAGAATTCATTTCTAGATCTTTATCCACTGAATATACACATATATGTAATGTTTATAGCATCCAGACTAATATATTTTAATTAAGAGTTTACATTTATCTGACTTTCATCTAACTCTTCAAACCAAAAGATGATGTCTTCCTTACTCATCTATTATATAATCTTAGCTCTCACCATGGTGGTTGGTGCCAGTAGTCACTAAAAACAAGGTGTCCATAAAGGTCCTTTTGCAGTTTGAATTTTTAATAAATTTCTTCTTCTTTGTGAAATATGATAGAGGAGGAATTTACTTGATTCAAAGAAAATTGTGAGGGGTTCATTTTTAAAATATATTTCCCTTATTTTCTAGTTAATAAACTCCTATGTTACGTTAATTAAGCCTCAATTCAGTTATTGAAAATGATGTTATTTAAAATGATGGTGGAGGGATGCCTGGGTGGCTCAGCTGGTTAAGTGTCCGCCTTCGGCTCAGGTCATGATCCAGGGTCCTGGGATGGACCCCCACATTGGGCTCAGCGGGGAGCCTGCTTCTCCCTCTCTCTCTGCCTCTACCCCTGCTTGTGCTCTCTCACTCTCACTCTCTCAAATAAATAAATAAAATCTTTTAAAAATATAAAAATAAAAAAATAAAATGATGGTGGATATGTTGAAAGCAAAAAGATCTACATCCTCCTGTCTAGCTGGAAGAGAGATGCACACAAATAGAGTAATGCAATAAATGAAGATATTACCAAATAAGCCCTGATATGGCGAGGAAGAACTCTTTAACTCTCCCTAGGTCGGGGAAAGCTTCCCAGAGGAGATGCCATTTGAGCTGAGTTCTTAGAAAAGATAAGGGATATCCAGATGAGATTAGTAAGGGGCAATGGTAGGGGTAAAAGCCACAGCTTCGAGAAATATGTGCTGCTTTTAAGGCAAGTCACTGAAATACTGAACAGATTATTTAACATTTCTGTGTCAATTTTCTCATTTGCAAAATAAGATTGTACCTATCTGCCAAACTCAAATGGCTGTTATAAGGGTAACAAATGTTATGAGGGTAAATGTGAGGTTATATAAGAAATTGGAGAGCATCATGAAGATGTAAGATGGAGACCTTGAAGGGTCAGTGGAATTTGGATGGGTAGAGGGAAAGGGGCTTAGGACATACAAGATGATAAGAATGGTGTAAGCAGACTCCAAGGAGAAAAGTCAGTTAGGTGAAGGAAAACTGATAATTTTGGCAAGAGTGGAGGATAGCAAGTTAAAGTTCAAACACTAACCAGTAAGGTTCAAGTACAGAAGTCTAGTTTAGCAGAAAAACAAAGCTGGTTGACTTAATATGGCTCAATACTTTTTTGTTGGGAAAGAAGGGAAGCAAATCTAGAGTTACAGAAATGATTCAGAGTCCAAACTGGGGCAAGCTTCTTAATGCTCATTGTACTCCAACTCTACCCTTTAAATCGTGCAAAGCTATCATATGTGGCCCTCAAACAATATGCATATAGGTTAAACGTAGATATATAATTTAGTGGTGTTAAAAAATGAGAGAGAAAGGGGATGTGATAAATTGTAACTCAAGGCAAAGAGAGAGACACAGAAAGAATTTTCTACAGTGTGACTTTGAATCAATCAGGATGTCTTAATGGAAACCCAGATTCAAAATGATTTAAGTAATAAGGAAATGTATCACATATAACAAAGGAGGGCAGGCATCAGAACTGGTTGCTCATGAATGTCAGTAGCTCATGAATGTCATGGAGATTCTAGACTCTCTCTCCACTCTGCTGGCCTTGGTTTGTTGGGTTTGTCTTATGTTAGTTCCTCTCTTTGGTAGCAATAGAGCTGCAGCAGTTTCATGGGGAATGGAATTTCCATGGCTGGCTAGGACTAATCATCTGGAGTAGAATACGTGCTGGGGAACAAAGCTTAAAGAAAGTTACATTGCTATCATCATCTGATTGTTCAGGACAGGGTTGGAAATGTGGTAGCCCATGGCCCAAGTTATTCTTGCAGATGTTTTGTTTCACTAGTATGGTGTTAAAAAAATTGAATGAGTTGTTTACTTTTATAAATCAGAAGACTTTATTTATTTTTAAAAATCATATTTCGGCATTATCTTAAAGATTCCAAAGGTCTAGCTAACTATGCCTGCATTCCACTTAGCTAAAGCTGGGTAGGGTACATTAGTTACTTCCCCTTTAGAAGAGCATTCCAATTCTAATTTACTAGAGCCTCATCATTCCCTAATGCATTATAACCTAGTCTGCTTTACTCAAGTTACCTACTGAGCCTTTTACTGGGGAAATTATTCCCAAAGATTTTTAAAAGCTCTGTGCTGTTTTTATCCATAAACATATCTCTTGTAGGCATTTGTCCAAAGGCTCAAAAGAATAGAAGGCAAGGACCACAACTAGCAGGAGAGTGAGTCTTTGCCAACTCCACTGTGTTAGTTGAGTGACCTTATTAACTTATAATTTTCATAACCATAAAATTTAGCAATTGACACCTGTCCCCAATAGGAATGTTACAAAGATAAATAGCTTAGCTGCAAAGGAAGGAAGGATATATTTTATTCATATTTTATTAATGAAAGTATTCCTTCCATATTTATGTTTGAGAGAGCCAAGAACCAAATAATTATTTCTATAAGGTTTTCAGTTAAATATTAGTCACTCTTACCTTTTGTAAAGCCTAATTTAGTTCAAGGATATTGTCTGTTGGTTGTACTCTTGAAGTATGTTTACAGAGCAGCTATATTACTTACTAGTTCTATCGGCTAGGCAAAATTAGATAAAGTTTAAAAGGAATCATTAAAAAGTGAAAATTGGATTTGTAATATTTTCTACAGTTATAATTGTTAGAGAAAGGAAAGAGCTTTCAACATTATAATAAAGCTTCTTTAATTATAAAATATTTCAAACATAGAAAGAGAGAGCAAACATAACAAACATGTATGTATCAACTCCCCAGGCACCATATTTGCTTCAAATTTTAAAAATTATTTTTTTAAAAAATCAATCATTACAGATACAGTTGAAGTTCTCTGTGTACATCTGTTCAATCCCATTTCTCATTATAAATACCCAGAAATAATAGCCACTATAATGAATTTGATGTTTATCATTCCTATGCACATTTGAAACTTTTAAACCACACATATAAATCTATAAATAATATATTGTTTTGCATGTTATACAATTTTATAACCATGGCATCATAATATACATATTCAGCTGAAACTTGCTTTTTCTCAACATTGTTTTTGAGACTTACCTACTTTAATACATGATACTGTATTAATCTTAAATAATGTATATTAAGGTTATATGCAAATATCACATTATTTTAATTCATTCTCCTACTGATAAAGAGAGTTTTTTTATATATCAGTTTGTTGTACTATTGAGGGTGCATATGAATAAAGTTCTGCCTCAGAACATACCACATTGTATTGTTACTGTGAGAAGCAGCTCAATCACAAATCAAACTTTCTCTTGTAGAGTTAGCTTCTTGTTACTCATAATTGGACAGAGGGAATCACAGTAACTATAAATGTCAGATGCTTAAAAAGTATAGAGGTATAATGGGACACCTGGGTGGCTCAGTTGTTTAAGCGACTGCCTTCGGCTCAGGTCATGATCCTAGAGTCCCGGGATCGAGTCCCAAATCGGGCTCCCTGCTCAGCAGGGAGTCTGCTTCTCCCTCTGACCATCTTCCCTCTCGTGCTCTCTCTCATTCTCTCTCTCTCAAATAAATAAATAAAATCTTTAAAAAAAAAAGTATAGAGGTATTTGAAGGAACCCATACTCTATAAAGGATAAATACTGATTTCTTTTTACCCCAGAATGTCAAAATACATTACTGTGGACTCATAGTTTTTCAAAAATGTCTGAATTTTGGATTTAGCTCCATAATTTCAGTAGAGTTCAGTAATTGGTTTCTGGATTGGTAATATGACTTTACCATTGGATGAGCATAAATATACAAAAAACCAGGCTCATTTTTCTTTTTCAGAGCTTAGAAAATGTGACAAATTTCAGATGCTGAACCAACATTAGATTTCATAGTATAAAACTAACATAGCATAATGGATATAAAGCTTATACTTCAAACCACTAATTTCCCCTAATTAAATCTAAATATATATGACATATTGAAATATCACTCAAACATCTCCTACCTGAACTTTGGTTTTAATCATCCCTGAAAGAGAATGCCTATTCCGACTGTCCCTTCAGTGATACTCAGTTTCAATTGCTCTGGAGGTTGACTGCCTAACTTTTAGAGTTCTCAAATACTCTTTGTAATCCATATTAGTCTCATGGTGGCCAAGTTGTCTTCATTTAAGTTGGATGATACATCAGTTAACCTAAGTTATTCTATTGTAATAATCCCTAAATCAAAATTACTTACAGGAAGGTTTCTTTCTCTTCATGTTAATTGTCAATTGCAGTCATCTTCAACTTTGTTCCATTATTCTGGGACCCAGGTGAAGGGGCATCACCTCTTTGGGACATGCCATTCTTGTCATACAAGGAAGAGAGAGATGTTAGAACTAAGTAATGACTATTAAAGTTCCTGCTCAATGTGGCACTCATCACTTCCCTTCATATTTCATTGAACAAATTAAGGCAAAAGGCCAAGCCTGCCATTCAACAAGGTGAGGAGGTAAAGTCCTCCCATTGGAAGGGACATAAATATTTGGGAACAGTAATTTGATTTACCACAGAGGTTATTTTTATTCTCAAGAAGGTATCCTTTTGATTGACTTTTGGAATATTTATAAAATCATTTTTTTTAGTTTTTTACTAATCATACAAGCAAGACTTTCTTATCTTTGAGATGGGGTTTAGTCCAATTTAATATTTTCTATTATACTACCAAAAATAAGAATTAAAATTACTTTGAAAAATTAATATCTAGAGAACTCATGCATATAATTGTGATCTAAGTATAACCAATATTAACATTATAAACTGAACTAATTGAAATCTTTACCATATCACTCCAAATGAAGGAAAATAACTGATTACCACCCCACTCCTGTTCCAGCCATCAGGAGACCCACAAAAATAATTTCATGTAGTTAATATTTTGGATGAGACCGTTCAAGTAGTCTCTTCAAATGTGATGAAAATCTATTTTTGTGTGACATTACAAGGAAGAGAGATTTAATTTACATAGGTGGCAAATAATAGATTTTTAGATTTAATTATATATGACATGTACATTTTCTTTTTAATCTAGCAATTCTTCTTTCTGTAGTACTTTTTAACAGTTATTTGTAAATAGTTGGTATCTTGGGCACTGAGCCCAGCTTTGCTTAATCTTACTGTCTTTGCAGCAGTCTATTTCTATTTTAAGATACTTTGGTAATTATTGGTTTGTTTTCTAAAAATGGAGTAAATGATCTCATTTTGGGGAGCTAACTTCTTAAATGATTAGATGGTTTAAAACAACTCTGGCTTTTCGATAACAGATGTGACAACAAAATCACACTGCACAACAAAATTTATTCACTCATGGAATAATAATAATATTATTATTTATAGCTAGCACTTATAAAATGCTACTGGTATTGTTCTAAGTGGTTTACATATATTGATTCATCTAGTCCTCACAACCCTGTGAGATAAGATATTAATATTATCCCCATTGCATAGATGAAGGATCTATAATACCTACTTTAATACAGATCTAAATTCAGCTTTGGAATAATAAGTCATGGTTGACAGGATTTATCAGCAAGACTAGGAAGTTGGCCAGTTAAAGCAGGAAACCAACAGAAGAAAGGGAAGTAGTAGCAGAAGCTGTTTAGAGGTTTCCTGAATCCTACTCTATTCTCTTAATAGAAGAATTTCAAACAATTTAGTAAATTCTTTTAAGCTGTTAAGCAAATTATTTTCTACTTAGCTTTAGGTCAAAATAATAACCTTTTAGTTCTTGTGAAAGGCAAACTCTGGAACTTATACATAGGTTACATTATGATCTTGAAACAGTTTTTTTTAATCTTCAAAGGAACTCAGGAACTCAGGAATTGTTCTTCTAGTTAGAACAGAAACAAAGTGCATAAATTCCAATTTTCCTTTGGATGGTTCATTACCTTCTCAATGGCTATGGGACCACAACCTATTGTGGGATGACTGCACTTAATATAGTAGCAAAGAGGAAGTCTATGAGTAGCTCTGACAATCTAGCCACCTGTTAATCTGGAGACACATTTTCTATTTTTAAGATATGTTGGTGGACCATTGTATGTGTATAAAATGTTTTTATAGGGATAGATTTTGTTTTATATGATGATATAATGTAACAGGTAAACAATTAATGTAAATAGTAATTAACTCCAATTCATGGTTACCCAGTTGTCTTTGATTTAAAAACAACTGAAGATTAAAAACATTATATAACATAAAGAAATCAAATGAGAATATGAATTTTATTTATAGTAGTTTTAATTTGCTGTCTATAACTTTTTCATGGTTTTCACAAAGGGATTAAATTTCATCAGACTCTAAGTTCTTCTAAATGTTAGGAGTAACATATGCCCATTTTTATAAGCTCATCCCTGAAAGTAGAAACTCTAGAAAACAATCAATTACTAGGTTTGCTTTCCATATTTGTTAAGTATACTATAAAGTATTTAAACCTTTAAACATTAGAAAGAATATTCACTTGAAAATTAGAGAAACTAAGAGAAAAACCAGAAGGAAAATAATAACTGGATTTGTCAATAGCTTGGATGGGGTTGAGAGAAAGGAGACAGTCAAAACTGATAACCAGTTATACCTAAGAGATCATACAGTATTCAGGTTTATGCCATTGGTGAGTCAGACTGGAAAGGTTAGGCAGGGATGGTATTACCTTTCCTCCAAAAGTTGATGTTCCTTTTCCTGAATATATTATTATTTTGACTCTTCAAATTTTAGTGACAGGTAACATTAAGTAGTAATAAAAGCCCTATAAATAATTTGCAATTGTCTTAACTTTTTTTAAGGCAATTAAGTGATTTACACATGATAGCTTTTTCCAGGTTCTTCCGGTTAAACAGCAGACAGAAAAAATTTAAACATGGCAAGACTCTGACATGTCAAAGGTCACATAACCTTTAGGTACAGCCAGATTTCCTATTAATCTGGTAGTATATTTTAAGACCCATTAGATTACTAAATCCAGTGATCAGTTAATGATGTACCTGACATACATACTGTTTCTTAAAAACCATCCCATTAACTTTTGTGGATCTATGCATTTAAACGTAATTGTTTCAAGAAATCTTCTAAAACCCTTTTGTCATGTTGTGCAGTGCATAGGTAGTCTCGGAGAAAAACTCGAGTTTATCAGATCCTTGGCTCTTTTTCCACAGGTCCAAAAGGATAAATGGATAGAGTGACACTAAGCTGAAACCATTTAAAGGACCAGTATTCGGATGCACCTATTTTAAAATGATGAAGCAGCTTTTAAAATAGAAAAGTATCCAAAATTTTGCTTTCCAGCAAACTAGTGTTAAGGGAATCACTGCGGTCCAAAAATATTTTTGAGATATCAGTGTACACTAAAACAATAATTTTTAAAAAGGAAAGCCGTCGTATTCTGGAATTTCTCCCTCTCTTCACCCTAGCCAGATCTCCAACCATCCAAATGGCTAAGTCGCATAGCTGAAAGGATTTTGCTCATTTTTTCCAAAACACTTCACATCTGGGTAGTGGCCAACCATGGAAAGTTTCAAGTCAATGTAACATTTGGGAGGGAGATGAAGCTCGTCTGGGGCTGCCTGCTCTGGACCGCGGCCACCAGAGGTGTCGCCTCACGCCCTTACCGGATAGCCAGGGCCAACTGCAAGCTTGGACCAGCCGACCTCCGACGGCCCAGCCCGACGCCAGCTCCGGCCAACCCGGCCGACTGCTGGCCACTCGGCGGCAGGGGCTCTTGCCCGTCAATCTCCCCAACGGGTTCGAGGCCCCAGAGTCCAGGAGCCAATCCATTTCGTAAATGTCGAGACCCCTGAGTCCCCAGTTCTTAACTAGCGCAGCCTCGCGGTTGGCAAAGCAACAGGGAAGGGACTAAGCTAGAGCCCGGCCTGGCTCCCACGCCTCACACGTCAGTTTGGCTCCCCTCCCCACCCGCCTGCCCGCCACTCCCCCGCCCGACTTTTCGCGAACCCGGCGCGGAGAGAAATTTGACTGCTCCAGTCACCAATTAGGAGAGAGGTCGAGGATATGAGCCAATCGGAGTGGGGAAAAGGGGTAGGACGCCAGCGTCCTCCCGCCCCCGAGAGGGTGAGCGCGGAATGTCTCCGGCCCTCCCCTGCGCCTCAGCCTCAGTGCGGAGTCCTCGGCGGCGTGAGGAGAAGCGGTAGCCGGTAGCCTCGGTGGCGCAGCAGAAGCTGCGGGAACCGGTCCCGAAACCACACCCACGTCGCTGCTCCTGTCCTCTTTTGCCCTCTCGGCGTCCCACCGGAGACCGCGTTCCCGGAGGAGAGCGGCCGCCCACGCCCCGAGCATCCTCCCCTGTCGAGCGGGCGCTGACAGACCCAGCGGCATGATGCGACTGCGAGGCTCGGCGATGCTGCGGGACCTGCTCCTGCGGCCTCCCGCCGCCACCTGCGCGGCTCTGAGGCGGGCACAGCCCCTCGCCACACAGTGCCGGCGTCCCCAAGGCGGGGGACAGGGGGCCGCGGGCCCAGCGGCCGCCGCGCGACTCTACCCGTGGTGGGGCGGGGGCGGCCGGCCGGCGGGGCCCCTCGCGCGGGCACTGTCTAGCTCCCCCTCGGAGATCCTGCAGGAGCTGGGCAAGGGGGGCCCGCAGCAGCAGCAGCAGCAGCAGCAGCAGCAGCAGCAACAACATCCCGGGGCGTCGCCGCCCGCGGCCCCATCGGCTCCCGGCCCCAAGGACGGCTCCGGGGAGACTGACGCGTTCGGCAACAGTGAGGGCAAGGAGCTGGTGGCCTCAGGCGAAAAGTGAGTGTCTCCGCTAGGCGGAGGAGGCCTCCCCCTGCGTGGGGCCCGAGCGCGGGCCCGGGCCTGTGGTGGGGCGGGATGGGAGCGGAGGTTCGAGAAAGAGAAAGAAAGAGATGCCGGGCGGCCTGCGCAGTCTGCGCCATGTGATTAGGTCCGGCCCCGCCCGCGCCTTCGCTGCCGGCGCCCCTCCGTAGGCCCCCACTTCCCTTCCCCGCCCCCGGCGCGGGCCGCCCGGGAGGAGCCGCGGAGGGGCCGGAGGGGCCGGCCTGGTCCCCCGCCCGGGAACCGCGGCCGCCTGCTCCGCGCCGCGTGCTCCGCTCCGCGGCTGCAGCACCTGGCCGCCTGCCCAGCTCTCCGTGGGTGATGCCACACGAACATCTCCACCGAGTGACATTCAGGAGTCGGGTGTGGAGCATACCCTGTGCCTTCCCGACTCCTGACTCGTCGCTTTTCAGCCTCGGGTTTCCTTTGTAAGCCAGCCCTCCTTCGATCTCTGCCACCATCTCTTTAGAAACCTAGCGTGGCAGAATATTCTCAGTATTTCTGGAGTGGCTCTTTCAGGCGTGGTGTGGAGCCATCCGGGGCACCGGAAATAATGTTTTCGAAACGAGATTAGGAGGAAAAGAGTCATGTGGCCGAGATGGGGCACGCAGTACGAGACTACCTGTTTGCAGCGGGGACCAGCTTTGGCCTGTCTGATGTCTTTCATGAGATGGGCGAATTTAAAAAAAAAATAAAAATCAAAATGGCCAAGGTGAAACGTGACTGGTAAAACACTATGAAAAATCCGAGTTATGTAGTTTTTGTGACTTAAATAGTGATAGAATGTTAAGTCATCTATGCCACACAGTTTTGACTTAAAACGAAATTGTTTTTTCTTACACAATATGTGAAGCAGTTTCTTAGATATTTTGTGTAATATAAATGGACCCAAACTTGGTTTTCCCAGTGTGGGTAAAAATATATCTGTATGCTTTCTTTATACTTTACTCCTTTGCTGACATTGTACTGACATTACGCGACCTCTTTTGCCTCCCCGTGGCTTATGTTACTGTCTCCAGCCTCATATCACCTTAAGTCAAACTGAAAGTGTCGTTTGATTTTTATATTTTCAATCTCAGGCCTGCTTAACATTTCCTGTAATTGAAGTTGGCACCTTCCTAAAACATTCCAAGCTGAAGTTTTCCCAGACTGAAAAATGTTACTTAAAAAAAAAAAACATACTTGGTGATGGGCAAAACTTGTGGTATTCTGTGATAATGGTTTTGTGCCACAAAGTAGACTTAGGACCATAGGCAGGTCATTTAACATCTTTAGTTAGATGATTTAAATCCCTTCAGGGTCCAAAAAGCTAGACTTCTGTTAAATTTCTACCTCTCTCATGTTTTTTAGGGACTAGCATGTGTGTGCTTAATCTCATCTGGTACTCTCTTGTACCTTATCATCTGGCTTACCAGGCCTGGAACTAATTTAAATACCTGAGCCCAGAGTTACAGAATTGCAAAATGCAATTGCTAGCGTTTAAAAGTTGTCCTTATAGGCTATAGGATGGGAGCAGCTTTCTGTTGAAAATGTCTTGCAGTCTGTGTCTCTTCAGTGGCTTTAGTGTCCCTCTTTTTTTCCTTTTTGTCAGATAGGAAATTGAGCTCAGAAGTTTCTAGCTTCTTTGCCTTCAGAATAAGAAATTATCTCTTAGCCTTAACTTTGAAACACTTTGGCTAATACTTACTGACAATGACACATAAAAATTGTCCTGTATCCTAACTTTGAAACACTTTGGCTAATACTTACTGACAATGACACATAAAAATTGTCCTGTATCCTAACCACCAAAGAAAACCAGTCTAGAGAGGGAATCCTTCAAGAATATTTGCTCAGATGCCCCGGGAGTTTGAATGACCAATAAGATAATCTTGTTTACCTTAGTTCAAAGGAGTTTATTTTTCTGCCACCAAAGTTTGGAGTAATAGCTAGACTGGCTCAGGAGCAATCCAAGTATATGATAATCTTGAGAACTTTCAATCAAGGATTTAAAGAGTGAACCCCAGCTACCTCCATTCCACATACAAAATTGAAGAGCACTGGCCTCAGGATTGCCAAAAAATTTTTAAATCATACTAAAGTTTCGATTTCCTGAATGATCTGGTTTCCAAATGTAGCTTTCCTCCTTTGACTCCTTCCATTTTGCCTTTATGTGATAAACATTTCTCTCATTCTGGGAGGTAAGCTTCCAGTTGATCCTGTTATCCCTTTGTAATGCTTAGCTTCCAAAGCATAGTTCATCCCTCAGTCAGCAAGCCATCTGGAATGCCAGCACTCCGGACTCTGCCAGGTTTTATGGGGGATTATTAAAAGAAATAACCATGTGAAAATTAAATGAGTTGACATTTTGTAAAAGGCTTAGGACAATATTTGATATGTATTAAATACTACATAACTTTATTAAATAAGAAAATTGCTTCATTTATTGTAAAACATGACAAGGACATTGGCCTTTGAATTTTAGGCTTGCACATGAGAAATTTCTTTTGGTTTCTTAGTTTCCAAAAAAAATTTGAGAAATTATTGTACTTTTTATATGAAACTAATTTGCACTGTTTATCTTTTTGGCCTGTTTACCAGTAAGCTCAGAGTGAATTTAATAACCATAGCAATTTTATTAATTAGCAGGGCTGAGGTATTTCCTTTTCTACTTTACTTGGTCTGACTATATTTTATTAACCTTACTATATTATTTTCTGGAAAGAGGTGGGATATAAGCACATTAACCTATTTATTTCCATAGTCAAATTCTTTGAACCAGTGTCATCCTAGGCTAAGCCATCTCCTTCAGCCAACTTCAGTCTGGTCTAGATTCCTGATTTAGCTTAAGCTTTTACTACTGTCTTAAATATCTGATAGAAAATGTAATGATCTTTGCCCAGTTTTGACTGTAGTGCACTTAATTTTTGTTGCTATCATTTCATCATTTTGAAAACCACTTGGCTTGGCTCTCTTCGTTTTTTAAATTGTTCTCTTTGCTTTCCTGGCTCCTTTTTGGATTTGCTCATTGAGTAAACCCTGAGGCTAAAGCGTTTGCTTCTTTCCCACTTGTCTGCCTTCTCAAGAGCATATGCCTTCTCTCAGCTTTGACTTTCATGGTAATATTTCATCTCTCATCCACACTCTTTTCTCACATTTATCTCTACATATTTGATGACCCAAATTTAAAATCTGTGCCCCCATATTCATTCTTCTGTCCCATTTCAATCTATTTTGCATACTGTTCTGAGATTAATTATAGAGTTTTAATTTCAAACTACCACTCTCCTTCCAGAATATCAATACAGGCTGGGAGTGAGCATTATATCAAAATCACAGACCGTGCTGCAGCATTCAGTATTCTTGATCAACTTTAATGCCAAATGCTTGCCCAGCATGGACATTTTATCACACTGTTCTCCATCAAGCTTCATTTCTGTAAAGCTCAGAAGTGGGTATCCTGTCTTAATGAAGAGTCCCTGAAAAAGGCTAGCAGGTGGGGATGAGGGACATTTTTGTTAACCTTTTGTTTGGACATTTTATTGTTTAATTAGAAAGGAAAAAGATATAACAGAGAAGGACTAGGCTGGGAAAATATCAGCACGTGTATGTTCTTTAATAAGCAGGTAATTCTTATAGGGTACAATATTGACAATACAGGAAACAGTATTCCATTAAAACAAGGAGATCATTTTTCCCCTATCAGATCGGCAGATGTTAAGTTAAATCAAGCAATGTAGAGGGTGAGGGGAATAGGAACTCTTACATTACTAGTGGAAGTATAAATTAGTTCAGCTATTTTGGAGGGTGGTTTGGTAGTATTTGTCAAAAACTTCATACCCGTGTTGCAGTTAGTAATTGAATGTTTGCTCATCAGCATGAAGTCATGGCATTTAAAAATATATTTTAAATTAAATGTGCATAGTTAAAAATATATTAAGGGGCACTTGGGTGGCTCAGTTGGTAAGTGTCTGTCTTCCAGCTCAGGTCATGATCTCAGGGTCCTGGGATCAAGGCTCTCCTCCCCACCCCGACTCATGAATGCGACTTCTCTCTCAGAATAAATAAAATCTTAAAAATAATAATAATAAATAAATTTATATATATATGTATAAAGTGAAAGAGCAAACAAATATTTTCAACTAGCTTCAGATTGTGTAACTTATATTTTGGTAGTTAATATTTATTAAATGGAAAGTGAGGGGCAAAGAATCATTGAATCATAATGCTGTAAGAATTAACTCTCAAAGTAAGATTAAATGCCTATGCATTTCAGCAAACACTGAATTGGGCCTCTACAACAGTATTGATAATGAAGTTGAGACAGTATTTGGCAGATATAGATCATTTTAAAGTGAAAGAACCTCTCTGAAATAGGTGACAAATTCTGTCATCCTTTAATAATGCATTTGCTTTTAATTTGTAAAAGTGAACATATTTACAATTCACTTAAAATCAAGATTGAAAGTGTATTTAATTGGGGGATTTCAGTGAACCCCTCTGATTTTATTTGTGATTTTCTCTGTTAAAAATGTTTTTCTAGATTACAGTTATCAGTGAGTTTCAGTTATTCTTTTAATGGCCAGTTGTAACATACACCATAACGTTATTTGCTGTCTGATATTTATATTAAACCACATGCATCTATTTAGTCATGGATATATTAATTTTTAGATGAAGTTCACTGAAAGAGCATGAATTAGATCTTGAACTTTAGTTTCTTTGAGTCTTAGCTTCTTTTCAGGCTTTACTGTTTACAGAGAAGTCTGCCTACTCAAAATCAACTAACTCAGGAAATGACTACCAAATTGAATTCAATTTTTTTTTATGAGGCAGTAGGTAGGGAAAAGTAATGGGTAGGAGGGACCCTGTTTTAGTCTGAAAAAGCTAAGTGTCATCTTGAAGAGAACTTTGTTGAAAACATTTGTGAGTTTGAGTTTTAAAAGATTATTTGAAATAAGTAAAAAAGATACACTACTTCCTTGTGATTATGAAGTGAAAAATTATGGCTGTAGAAACTAAAAGTCTGATTGTAGGTTTTGCATTCTTTGAGGAGCTCAGTCTTTAAATGCTGTATAAATCAAGGAGTTGTCTGCCTTTTCACCTTTTAAGTCATTTGCTAGTAAGAGGAATGCTTAAGAAAGCTGAGTGAACAGATATATTTGTAAAAATAGTTACTAATTGCTGATATCTCTAAGTGAGATCTTTTAGGTAGACACTTACTATGATTTTATCCTGGGATCTACTCAGGTATAAAATTTTGGGGGGAGCGCCTGGGTGGCTCAGTCGGTTGAGCGTCTGCCTTCGGCTCTGGTTGTTATCCCAGAGTCCTGGGATCGAGCCCCGCCTCGGGCTCCCTGCTCAGTGGGGAGTCTGCTTCTCCCTCTACCTCTCCCCCTGCTTGTGCTCTCTCTCTCTCTCTCTCTGTCAAATAAATAAATAAAATCTTAAAAAAAATAAAATAAAAATTTTTTGGTTATGAGACACAGTGCATATGACTAATTATTGTACTTGGTGATTTTTCTGGCTACCTACAATGTAGTACGAGCGTGTTAATGTGTCATTTTGGCTTCCTTTGGGAAGTGTTCTCTGGTTGGTATGTAACATTGCTTACTGATTCCTAAAGAAACATTTATAGTGAAATCACTAATTTTAAAACATGGAACTATTTACATTGTATAATGGAGAATAAGTTGATAACTTTCAGGATTTGCGTATATATTTTTGCCTTCTAATTTCCATTACAGACCTCTAAAGTTTTTTTTTTTTTTTTTGAGATTTATTTTATTATAGAGAGGGGGAGGGGAAGAGAGAATCTCAAGCAGATTCTGCACTGAGTGTGGATCCTGATGAGGGCTCCATGCGGGGCTCAATCTAATGACCCTGACATCACGACCTGAGTGAAAACCAAGAGCCAAAATACTTCACCAAGTGCGCACCATGGTGCCCCTAAAAAAGATTTATTTCTTTGAGAGAGAAAGAGAACAACCTGGGGGGAGGGACAGGGAGCCCACTGTGGGGCTCGATCCCAGGACCCAGAAATCATGACCTGAGCTGAAGGCAGATGCTCAACCTACTGAGCCACTCAGATGCCCCTAAAAATATTTTTTTAAAAAAAGATTTTATTTATTTATTTGAGAGAGCACAAGCAGGGGGTGGGGCAGAGGGAGAGGGAGAAGCAGACTCCCCACTGAGCAGGGAGCCCAATGCAGGCCTCTATCCCAGGACTCTGGGATCCTGACCTGAGCTGAAGGCAGATGGTTAACCAACTGAGCCACCCAGGCGCCCCTAAAAAAGATTTTTAAATTGTTATCTTCATGAGGGTATTCTGAGTGACATAGGCACTTAAGATTCTTGGTGGGAGTTCTTAAGAGTGCAAACTTTTTAAGAGCAGTTTTTAAACTGTATGAAACTTTAAATATGTTCATACATTTTTAGGAATCTAGGCTGAGTTGTAGAAAGATGTATTCACTAATATTTTTGACAGTATTATGCATACTAGAGAAGAATGGAGAAAAACTTGTGTTCAGCGTTAGTGGAATGGTTAAGTAAATGATGATACATACATCCCTATGAGAGTCTCTTATTCAGTCATTTAAAATGTATACAATTACTTTTGGGGGTATAAGAAAATGGTAAGCCAGAAGTTAGAATACAGAATTTTCTCTGCAGTATTATCTTAAGTGATCCTTAAGCTTTAAAAAAAAAAAAGCTTAGAAAAAGTATCTGAGGAAAATAAACTGAAATGGTATTAGCAGTGGTAGTTCGTGAGAAGGGGCATGTTTTTCCTGCCTCTTTAGAGTTATTAAGATTGCTCATTATGAGTACAGTTGACCCTTGAATAATGTAGAGGTTAGGGGTGCCAGCCTCCCCTCACAGTCAAAAATCCCCTGATTTCTCCAGAACTTAACCACTAATAGCCTACTGTGGACTGGAAGCCTTACCAGGAACATAAACAGTCAATTAATACATATTTTATTATGTTTTATGTATTATATGTTATATTCTTATAATAAAGTAAGCAAGAGAAAAGACTTATTAAAATCATAAGGAAAAGAAAATACATTTATAGTACTGTACTGTATTTAAAAAATCCACATATAAGTGGACCCACATAGTTAAAACCCATGTTGTTCAAGGGTCAACTGTATATATAACTTCTGTAATTAGAAGAACCACATCTGTTAAATTTTAAAGTTGTAAATCTCTACTTTGCTGTCTTAGTCAGCTAACCTAATATCCTGTTTCTGGTACATATAACAGGAAGTACCTACATTACATTAAAAAGTTAAGAAAAAAGATCATGAGTGGAT